GCCCTGCGGTCTTTTAATGTAGAAGCTGCAAGGTCCTGTGTAATCCTGACTGTGGTTCCATGATATTTAAATTGTTTCTTTCTGGCTGCTTGCAGCACCTTCTCTTTCATCTGGTAATTTTGGAATTTTGCTATTATATTCCTTGGCATTGTCAATTTGGGATCTCTTTCAGGTGGTGATCGGTGGATTCTTTCTATGGTTATTTTCCCTTCTGGTTCTAGGACTTCTGGGCAGTTTTCCTTTATGATTTCCTGAAAGATACTGTCCAGGCTCTTTTTTTCATCATGATTTTCAGGTAGTCCAATAATTTTTAAATTGTCTCTCCTGAGTCGATTTTCCAGGTTGGTTTTTTACTGATGAGGTATTTTACATTTTCATCTATTTTTTCATTTTTTTGTTTCTGTTTGACTGATTCTTGCTCTCTCATAGAGACATTAGTTTCCATTTGTCCAATTCTAGTTTTTAACAGATTGTTTTCTTCTGTTAGTTTTTGTACTTCCTTCTTCAACTGGCCAATTGTGTTTTTTAGGGACTTGTTTTCTTCAGTATACTCTTCTGTTAGTTTTTGTCCTTCCTTCTTCAATTGGCCAATTGTGTTTTTTAGGGACTTGTTTTCTTCAGTGTATTTTTTTTCCAATTGGCCAATTGTATTTTTGAAGGACTCTTCTACCTCTCTCATTTGACTATTAAAATCCTTCTTGAGCTCTTCTAAGAAGGCTTTTTGGGCTTCAGACCAGTTCATATTCCCTTTTGTTGTTGCAGATGTGGGTTTGTTGACAATGTTGTCCTCTTCAGAATTTCTGTCTTGATCTTCACTCTTCTCATAATATGAATCTATGGTACGTTTCTTTTTACTCATGGTGTTTCTTTATTCCCTGGCCTTTAAAGAGATTGAGCTCTCCTGCTGGGGAACAGAGGGTACTGACCCAAGCTTCTTGTGTTGGGAGCCTAGGTCTTGGTCACTGGCTTTGTGTGCTGGGGCCTCTTATGCTGGCAATTGGAGGCTGTAGGTTTCTGGCAGCTTACCTCATGTTGGGCTGGAATCAGCAAGGCTGGAACTTTCAGGCAATTCTAGGTTGCCTGCTTTTCCTTTCCTTTAGCTTTCTTCAGCTCCTTTTAGATGGGTGCTGCAGGGTGTTTATCTGCCTGGGGCCCCTGCAGTGTTGTCTCCCTTTTTCTGCTAATGCACTGGGAGATTCCTTTGTGGTGGTGCTGAGGCACCTGGTGGTTTTCTGAGCTGGTTTCCACCGTTCCCCCACCCTCACTGAGGCACTTGGAGGTCCAGGTGTTGGTGTTTGCCTGCTCTACCACCTGGGCTTCAGGATTTCTTCACAATTGGAGGCTGCAGGGCTCCAACAGCTCACCCATTTTTGGTTTGGAATCAGCAAGGCTGGGGCTTTAAAAAGCCTTTAGGTTGTTTTCTTCACCTCCTTTCAGAAGAATGCTGCAGGGTACTTATCCGCCTGGGGCCCCTTGTAGTTCTGCCTCCCTTATTTTTGCTGAGGCAGTGGGAGACCCGTTTGCTGGGCTGCTGCACTGCTGCTCCCCATCTTTCTTCTAGTTCAGGTGTTCAGGGTTTTTTTTCTGGAGTGACATTTCCTGGGTTTTCAGAGGTTGATAAGGGAGAGTGAGAGCGACTACCTTTTCACTCCGCCATCTTGGCTCCCGGAAGCGGAACACCCATTTATTTAAGCGGCAATCAATAAGCATTTATTAAGTGCCTATTATTTGCTAGAGTGGCTCGATTCTATTGGGGAGTGGACATGTACCTATATGAGTTTATGGAGTGCATATTATTCAGGCCATGAGCTATGTTAGGCCCTAGAGATACAAAGATGAGTCATGGCTGTCAAGGGTTGGGAAGTGATGAGGCTTGGAAGAGGGGTAGTGTTGGTGGGAACAGAGATGATCATAATGTCTGTGTCTCTTAAGGGGATTTTGAAAGGCAGAACACAGGCTTAGCCTGAGAGGGATGCCAGGTTGCCTGCCCATCAGGTACTTTGGGTCTTTCTGAAGGCCAGCTTTCTGCCTTTATTGGAGCAGGGGGAGGGAGATGTTTCTATGTCTGCCTTATATTCATTCTCAGGGACTTTCTGCAGAGCACAGTCACTCTCTTGCTTGTGATCTCAGTGGAATTGCATCCCACAAAGAGAATGTTTTCTCCATGGCTTCCGATCTCTATGTTATACTGTCTGCCTTTTTGCTGACACTGAAGGGAAAGTGGGGGAGGGGGGCAGCTGGGGCTGGTACCCTCCTTTCAGATGGAAGCAGTAGGGATCAAATGAGATAATATAAGTCAAGCACTTTGCAAACCTTAAGTGCTATATAAATGTTAAGCTATTGTTGTGGTGGTGGTGGTAATGGTGGTGGTGGTAGTGGTGATGGTGGTGGTGATGGTGATGATGGTGGTGGTGGTGGTGGTGGTGGTAATGGTGGTGGTAATGGTGGTAATGGTGATGGTGGTAATGGTGGTGGTAGGGATGATAGGATCATAGATTTAGAGCTGAAAGGGCCATTGAGGCCATCAATTTAAAACCCCTGGTTTTACATATGAGGAAACTGAGGCCCTGAGAGGATAAGTGATGTGCCCAGGGCCAGCTAGTCAATAAAATAATTCTAGAAACATTTATTAAGATCTTACTATGGGGCAAGCATTCTACTAAATTCTTGGAGCTACAGAGAAAGCAAAAAAATCCTTGTCCTCAAGGGGCTCACATTCTAATGAGGGTCACCCCGTTAATGTTTAAGGCAAGATTTTGAATCCAGATTTTCTTGACTCTAAGGATAGAGTTTCCCTTTACTGCAACACAGTGCCCTTCATAGATATGAAATGTCCTATGCGTACTCTGGAGCTGCAGAGTAGTCCCCAGGAGTTGGATGCAAGGAGCAAATGGTACACCATCCTCAGTAGCTTCATTGTTATTCATCATCATCTTCACCTCATGTCATGTATCCATATCATCTTCTGTCTACACTGTCATGCATTCACACCATCAGTTATTCACGTTGTCTTCCATCCTCACATTCATTCTCTTCTTCATCCTTCCATCCATCCTCTTCTTCATCTACTCTCATCCTCGTCCGTCTGTCCATTCCTCATCTATCCATCCATCCGTATTCTTCCTCATCTTTCCGTGCATTGATTTTCATTCCTGTGTATCCTCATTTTCATCAGTCATCATGCTTGTCTTCATCCCTATCCATTTATCCTCTTCTTTATCCATCTATCTTCATCTTTCCATCCATTCTCCTCCTTCTTTCTTCCTTCTCCTTATCTACCCATCCATCTATCATCTGCTTACTGTGTTTCAGACATCCTGTTGAGCCCCAGGGTTACAAAGAAAGGTCTGCCCTTAAGGACCTCACAACCATGACATCGGATATTTACAGAGCTGCTGTTGATCAGTCACTGTTCAGTCGAGCCCAACTCTCCATGACCTCGTTTGGGGTTTTCTTGGCGAAGATACTGGAGTGGTTGGCCATTTTCTTCTTCAGCACATAGAGTGTAGATGGGAGGTAATCGAAGAGGGCTTGGCCAGGACTTGGGCAAGAAAATCTGGGGTTTAAAAAATTGCCCAACAGGCTGTTCATTTGACAGTCAAGCTTTTGATTTGAAGGGATGGCCACAGGCAGGGGGAAATGCCAGGTGCCCCTTGACAGCCTTGGCTTATGACAGGAGCTTCATTTTACTTATCATGGATCACAGTGTTTTGTGTATTTTCTCCCCTTATCTGTGATTCATTCTCTGACTTTGCATATTTCCATTTGCCATTTAGACGAAATTTAAATAAACCCATTCCACTAAGCTCTGGGCTGGAGACAGGCACCCTTCAAACTCACTCCCAGAGAAATCTGCATTCAGCTCGTTTGGTGTGAAGCCAAAAAATCTTCCACCTTGCAGTTATTCAGGCTTTTCTGTTTGGCGTTTTCATTCAACCTCTTCTCCTCCAGGGATCTCTAACCTTATGGGTGATTACTTCACTAAAGAATGAAGGGAAGTGAGCATAAATAACCATGACTTGCTGTCCAGCTGAAGGAGCTGGCTCTCTGACTGGTTTCAGAGGATAGAGGATCAGGGTAACCCTTGCTTCCCATTCTGGGGCCACATTTCAGAGCTATGACCAGCACAAGGTGTGTGCCTCAAGGACACTAGCATCTGGGCAGAGGTATTGCTTCTTCTTTGCAGTGACAGAAGTCATAGGAAAATCAATCAATCTAAAGTTGTAAGGGCCCTAAGAGGTCATTTAGTCCAACTCCCTCAATTTACATATGAGGAAACTGAGGCCCAGAAAGGTTAAAATACTTGGGATCAGGGCTTTAGAGTCAGACGGGTCCTTAGAAATCATCTAGTTCAAACCTTTCATTTGGCTCATGAAGAAGATGCAGGGCAAAGATAGCAAGAGACCCAGGATCAAGACCCAGAAGGGACCTTAAAGGGTATATAGTCTAAGATTCTGCTCTCCCGCCCCCTTTAAAAAAATAGATGGTAAAAACCACTGCCCAGAAAGTGGTCTACCCAAGTCATTTATTACTAAATACTGGGTTCAATAGTGATTGAAAGAGGTAGGATTTGAACCCAGGTTCTCAGATTCCAAATCCAACTCCCTTCTCCAAACCTGGCTCGAACCCCATCACACTGTCTCTCCTTGTGTTTCACTGTATAGTCCCCAGTCACCTCCTGAGTCTCCACTCCACCCCTCTCTGTCATTTATTAGTTGTGTGGTCCTGGGCAATCTAGTGAATCTCTGCAACTCAGTTTCCTCATGTATAAAATGAAGGGGTTGGAATCCATCACTTCTCAGGTGCCTTCAACTCTAAATCTATGATCCTATGATTGTTTTCTCTAAGTGCTGGGAAGTCACATTGAGTTGGAGGGTTTCAAAGATTCATTTTAGATCATACCTGGGGCTGGAGTGAGGCTGGTAGCTGACTTCATGTATCATGCTTGACGATCTTCTGAAAGTCATCTGTTTTTCCTTATTTTTTCCCTATTTCTCCAGGCTTATCCAAATCCCTTGGGCTTATTGAAGGCTATGGTGGGCGAGGCAAAGGGGGGCTCCCCTCCACCCTTTCCCCAGCTGAAGAAGAAAAGGCCAAGGGCCCCCACGAGAAGTATGGCTACAATTCCTACCTTAGTGAAAAAATCTCCCTGGATCGATCCATACCAGATTACCGCCCAACCAAGTAAGTGTCTATTATTGCATTAACAACAGCATTCATGTGGCACCTTGGGAGCTGACATGGCACCTTTCCCCTTGACCTCACTTTTCTTCCTCACTTTTCTATGTTCTTCATAACTTTTCTTTTATACACTCCCAGCTCGTGCATGGTTTTTATGCAAATTTAAAGTATGGAGTGATATGAACAAAGACCTTGGACATCTGTCTTAGTGGGATTTTTTTTTTTGTAATATTGAACATAAAAAAAGTGATTCTGGGATGAATAAAAGTGAGCTCTATTTGATATAGAAGATGAGAACTTTCCCAGACTGATTACTCTTAGAGGTAATATACTAGCCAAAGGTATAAATGAAGACTTTATTAGGTACTTACTCTGTGTTACATCCTGTGCTATATGATAGGGCTGCAAAGCAAAAGCAAAAATTGACCCTTCTTTCAAAAAGCTCACCTTCTAATGGGAGGGACAACACACACACACACACACACACACACACACACACACCCCTTACACGTATATATATATATATATGTGTGTGTGTGTACACACATACATGTACATATGTGTACGTATGTATGTATTTGTTATCATCTAGATGCATGTCAACATAAATAGAAGGAACTTCTTCCTTCTCATAGAATCCTCTTTCTTTTAGAGGGCAGATGCCATCTATATGATGCCCTTCCCCATTCTCTGAACTACAAAGCCCCTCTTTCCCAAACTACCTTTTATGCAATTAAACTACTTTGTATATACTTATAGATTTTTTTTTCATTTAATCTCTTAATAACCAGCATATACTCACAAAGGATGTCCCAAAAGTCTTAGTGCAGCTCTAAGCTTTAAGAGTTGAAAACCACATGAAGACTTCTGGGATACCTTGTATATGTCCTTGTTGGGTCTCCTTTTAGGATGCAAGGGCCTCCCAAGAAGGGATTGCTTCATGTTTTGTACTTTTAATCCTAGTACCTGGCACACAGTAGGCACCTAATTAATACTTGTTGATTGGATTCATGATACTTCTAGTCACTCAGCTGCCCATCTTCCAGGACCCGTCTTACCCCTTCAGTCTCATTCCCTTTATCCAGTCTTGCGTTGTTTTTTTTTTTTTTTATTCACAACAGTTATCTCTTGTTCCTAATGCCTCTTCATTCAGTTTGGGTTATGTGGATTCTGACATCCCTTCTGACTCTGAAATTCCACAATTCTGTGTTTGTATCTAAATGGAAGCAAAATAAAATGTGCATCATTTGCAGCATTTTGTATTGCTTAAGGGGGCACAAAACCTTTGGTGGCAATGTCAACTGCCTCAGATTGAGTATTGGACCTGGAGTTAGAATCTTGACTTGGACGCTTCTTAGTGTGTGATCCTGGGCATCTGACCTTCTCCCTGTGCCTCAGTTTTCTCATCTGTAAAGTTGTCCTAGTAATTGCACCTATCTTACCAGGATGATGGGAGGATCAAATGAGGAAATGAATGTAACATGCTTTGAAAACCTTAAAACACTATATAAATGCCAATTACCAAATCTGAGGACATGTTTATACACATACACACACACACACACACACACATACACACATATACGTATATATGTATATATATATATATACACACACGTACACATACACACACTATATATATAGTATGTAATATGTACTTGTATATATAATATACAATTTGTGTATATAACATGTAATACACACACACACACACACACACACACATATATATATATATATATATATATATATGTATATAATATATAATCTAAGAGTTAGGAGAGACTTAGAGAACATTCATCTCAACCTCCTTAATTACAGAGAAAACTTTGGGTTAGAGCAATAGTAGTCAATTTATTTTCAAAATCCAGCTTGTATCCCCAGCCCTGGTCCCTTCAGGTCACTCTGGATGGAAGCCAATGACATACAGCAAGTTCCAATCGAACATTTAGTGTGCACACAAAGAGTCATCTTCCTTTGAATTCAAAAAATAGATATTAAGTGCCTACTGTGTGCCAGATACTGTGGGAGGTGCCAGGGAGAGAAAAAACATGCCGATCCCTATCTCTCACCCAGTAGCATGCAAATTCCTTGAAGGTAGGAACTGTTATTGTCTTATAGCCCCAGGGTCTCTAGCATCTAGTAAGAGCTTCATAAAATGCTCATTAAATGGAACTGACTCAATTTTTATGTCTTTGCTTTGGCCCATCTTGTCCAGTCAGCTCATAGAGTCTGTCTTGGAGCTTATTTTTCTGCTATCTGTCTTTATATTCTAATACCTTACATTTACAAAGTGCTTTTATAATTCCACAAAATACCTTTACTTACATTGTTATCTCATTCGGCCCACAAAGCTACTGCAGAATGCACCTCTCCCCACTCCCCTGTTTTTATGGAGGACAAAACTGAGACTCAAGTAGGTAAATAACTTGGCCAAGATCAAACCGCCAGTAAGGCTGACTTCAGGTCATAACCCAAGTCTACTGCTTTCTTGTCCAATATCCCATAATATATCTATCTCTTTTCTTATTCATGACTTTCACACACACATACTCTCCCTCTCCCTCCTCCCTTTCTCTCTTCTTTCTCTATCTTTCCCTCTCCCTCCCCCTTTCTACTTCTCTTTCTCTCTCTCCCCCTCTCTCCTTCCCCTGCCCCCTTCTCTTTCAACTTAGCCCAGGAGGACCCTTCAGCTCTTCCCTCAACTCATTAAATACTGGAAGCCCCTAGTGTCTCCCGTGAACCTGAATGTCTCCTCTTCCATCAAAACTGCCGTCTGTTTTCTTCATGAGAAATAAATTGTACTGGTGGATCCAGTAAATTAAATCCTGCCTGGTCTGGTGGATGCTTTGAAAACGCCTCAGGCATTCCTCCGGTTCAGCCAGGACCAAACCCTTATGTCACAGAATTCTGACATTCTAGTAAAAGCTGCTAGGAGCTCAGGAGGCGTTTAAATAGGCTCGTCCTTGTATGGTTTTAAAAAGTACAGATCCCAACCTTTTTTCCCTCTTTCTTTTTTGGTCTGGACCCATGATTTGTTCAGCATAAGTAACTTCTGAAGAAGAAATTCTCTCTACCTAGGAGAATCAGTGCTTTCTCTGCATGACAAGTCTTGGAGAGCTGCCTGGGGAAATGCAGAGGTTAAGTGACATCCCTAGCTGTCATGCAGATAGTATGAATCAAAGGCTGGACTTGAACCCAGGTTTCTCCTTAGTAGCATATAAACATCTTGAGGGCAGAGATGACCTTATTTTTGTATCTGTATTCCCAGGACTTAATCACAATGCTTGGAACATAGTAAGTGCTTTATAAATATTATTCATTCATTCATTCATTCATTCATTCATTCATTCATTCACTTCTGATTCTGAGACCTGCTCGGCTCTCTATCCCTCACTTCTCTACCACAACGCCTTTCCATATCCTACTCTTAAAACAAGATTTTTATTACTAACATTAATATAAATGCTATATTATTAATGTAATAATGTTTTATTAATATAACTACAGATATTATTAGAAAATTTCAACTGAGCAGTGATTTCACTAGTGTGGTCATTCCCTCTGTCGGTACTGTTGATGACCCATCCACATCTCGTCCATAAATTCACCTTCCAGGGACTTTATAGTAATTGTAAGTTGCGTGGCAGGTCAGGGATTGTGCCTCTAATTGCCTTCATTTTCACTAAGTAACCCCCTGCTTCTGTTGCCAACCATACAAGTCAATCAGCATTTATTGAGTGCTTACTACAATCCAATCCAATCAACATTTATTAAGCACCTACTATGTGCCAGGTAGGTGGCACAGTAGATAGAGTGCTGGGCCTGGAATCAGGAAATCCTGAGTTCAAATTTGACCTCAGACACTTATTAGCTGTGTGACCCTGGGCAAGTCACCTAACCCTGTTTGCCTCAGTTTCCTCACCTGTTAAATGAGCCGGAGAAGGAAATGGCCAACTACTCCAGTATTTTTGCCAAGAAAGCCCCAAAAAGGGGTCGTGAAGAGTCAGACGTGACTGAAAAATGAGTCTACAACATGTGCTAGGTATGCAATTAATAAAAAGAGAGACAATTCCTGCCCTCGAGGAGCTCGCAATGTGACGGGGTGGGGGGGTGGAGGCCCGGGGGGGAAGACAACACATAGAAAGAGTCAGGGAAGGAGGGGGTTGGGTCCAGGGAGCCAGGGGCTACCTGCCTTGTGGGCATCAGGCAGGGAAGCAAATGAAAGCAGAGTGAGCCAAAAAGCCTTACTTTACCCCTAAATTCATGCTCACCATCAGCAGAAACCAATATGTATGCAGAAAATAATCATGAATCATCTATGCACTGAGGATACAGGGATTTGGCAGGGCAGAGGGGACTAAAACTGGGGAAATCAGGAATAGCCTTCTGAATGAGATAGTAGCTAGTCTTGAAGGGCTCCGAGAGGCAGAGGGCATAGAGCCACTAGGCAAGGGGGACAGCCAGTGTGGTCGATAATGCCAGGCATGCCACAAGGATCACTGTTAGTATATTCATGCTCATTCTGTTTATGCTTACAGATACACTGGTTGTCTTCCCCATCAGAATATAAGCTCTTTGTCAGTAGGGATTGTTTCTTTGCATTTGTATTTCAAGTGCCCAGCAGAGTCTTTGGGACTGAACAGACATCTCATAAATGCCTATGGATTGAGGGTTTTCTTTAAGCCTGTGGCCAGTAAGCTTATTTGCAATGTTAATTCTTTGGAGATAAGGGATGTTCTATTATTCCTGCCCACATGGCGTCATGGATAGACTTTTGGTGTTAGGAAGCTGGGTTTTTGCAGCAGAAAACAATTCAGGATTGTTGAAAACACCTTGTTTTTTCCCAAATGTGATCCAGCCTGATCTCTTTTTCCTCTGTTCAGTGCTGGTCTCCACTCCCCATCTATATACAGTATATTTTTCTTAATATGTGAATTGAATTGAAACTGAAGGGTATAGTACAAAAAAATATTGATTCTGGAGTCAGAGGTTGTTCAGTT